TTTTGAACTTGAATTTAATTCTACAAGTGATAATCCTACTTATACTTCCCTTCCTAAAAAAGAAATTCTTTAAATTCCTCCTTAGACCCAAAATGAATTTGAACTTCCTATATGTATTATATTTATATTTATGTTATATTATATATATATATATATGTATTGGATTCCGAAACTTCATCAGAATCCTTACAAACAAAGATACATTCCGCGATCCAGTATATGTTCAACCAAGCCTCTTTCGTTACTCCTCACTAAGATATTGACAGAAGTGAATAAAAATCTTCAAGAGTACTGTGCAAAATTCCAAAGAACTTTTGGACAATTTGAAATCACAAAAAATTTACAAAAATCAACAGCTTAAAAACTTACAACTTTTCAACTTTATACACAAGCATTCCCCACGATAAATAAAAGTCCAGACTTTTTTATATCATTGACAGCTGCTTTTCAATAATAATGGAACTCGTAAATTTACTTACTTGGTCATTGGTCATTTGCAAAAATCATATTATTAAAACACACTCTGATTGCACACACAAGTACTCTGAAGTTGACATCAAAAAGATGCCTGAGTTTCTGATTGAAAATATCTTTGTAGTTTTTGGAGACCAGGTCTTCCCAAACTCTATTGGAATTCCCATGGGTACCAATTGCGCTGAGTTATTAGAAGACCTATGATTGTATTCATTTGAAGCAGAATTTGTGCAAAATCTTGTGCGTAAAAAGAAAACACTTGCTGTGGCCTTCAACTCAACATTTAGATATATCGACGATGCATTGTCAATTAACAATGGTAATTTCCATTCCTACGTCGATACAATGTATCCTGGAGAGCTTGAGATAAAAGATACCGCAGAATCTGACACACCTGTTTAATACTTCGATATTTTACTTGAAAAAGGCGTTAATGCTAATCTAACAACCAAGCTATATGACAAACGTGTGGCTTTAACTTTTCTATCGTCAAATTTTTTTTATAACTTTTCTGTCGTAAACTTCCATTACTTATGCAGCAATATACCTTCGCCACCTGCATACGGAGTGTATATATCTCAGTTGATTCGATATGCAAGAGCATGCTCTACGTATGAACAATTTCTAAAACGATGTAAATTATTGACAAGCAAGTTGATGAAACAAGAATATCAGCAGTCTCGTTTAAATTCATTATTTCGGAAGTTCTATGGTCGATACAATGACCTTGTCAACAAATACAATTTACCATTAAGTCAAATGCTGACTTACGTTTTTCGTGCTGATTGTTAGTCCATTATTTTTCCATTGAAATGACGCCAGATTTTTCCGTTATTTCCTGATCATGACAATGAGCACATGACGGGTATGACCGGTCAGTAGGGGATGCTCACTCCTCCATGGTATCTGATCCCACCTCTGATGTTTCGGAGGTCCGTGTTTGCTCTGCTCCTATTTTTTTTTATTGTTTTGTGGATTTTGATATTGAATACTGTTCGCTATCTCCATATCGTTCTTTCATATATATGTACATGTATATTTAAAGGTAAGAGCTATGGAAATTGAATTTATATAGTTAAATAACGTTGCTTTTCTTGCTTCTATGCTATGTTTTTGGATTTGTAACAATTTTGAAAGTTTATAGTTATCAGAAACATATCATGCCATTTTCGGAAGAAAACCTTAAGTTTGTTTGATAAGAAAACACCCAAAAATATAATCATAATTTTTTGCTCCTCGATGAATAAATGTTCAATGGGATTCTGCAAGTCAAAAATAAATCCATACCAGATACATTGATTATGAAGCTACTATTAAGATATAAAATCAAATATATGTTGGAAAGGATTAAAGTACATAAAAATATCCCCCTACTTGCATTTGAAAGTATAAAAAATATCAGGAGACACATATATAAGGTTTTATTGAATAAAAAAGTAGGGGGTCAAATTTATATGGGGGTCATTTTTCAATGTGTGAGAAGTCGTAGAATTACTGGTCTGGAATGTTTTTCTACAGTCGAGAAATGACCCTACTTGACATAGAATTTTGACCCAGGGTCATTTTTCTACGTAGAAAAATGACCCCCCAGTCAATATTCTACGGGGGTCACTTTTCGTCGTTATACCGTTTTCTCTCCATGGCATTTGATCCCACCTCTGATGTTTTGGAGATTCATATTTGCTTTGCTCCTATTTTGTATTGTTTAACGGACTTTTGAGCTTGATTACTGTTTCTCATCTCCATATATTTCATTTTATATAATCTCTCGCTGAAAATGCAATTTTCTGTCACTTCTGTATATGATTCGTATGCTCATTATTTAATAGCCACTCTCTGTAACCACTTAAACTTCTGCCACGCATGATCACCGATTTTGATGAAACTTCACCCATGCTTAGTACTTGACACCAGAAACAAATATCAAACAAAATTCCGTTGCTATGAGTCTCGGTTGCTATGGCAACAGCCGAAAAAGTTTGAAAAATCTAGATTTTCAGCCACTTTAAATCTTAACCAAGGCTTAATAAAAACTAGAAAAAGCAAACAAACCATTCTCACAAAAACAAGACACCTTGATGTCACTTATACTGTAAAGTAACTGTTTAGAATATATGTCTAAGTAAGTGGTAACCAAGGGTGCATTTGGAATACATTTAAAATGCTGAAATATGCTGAAAAACACTCCGTTTTCACTAATGGTAGGTATTACATGCTCAAACTCAATCAACAACTTAAGAAAAACAATGAAAATGTTTGACCTTAAGTATATAAGTATAAGCAATATTATTCTATAAATAACTTTTATGGTTGCCATGGTAACACAGTGTAACCATGCAAAACCAGTAACTAAGATTGGGTTAATGCAACTGTCTCGAGGAAAAACATGAAAATTCAAAACTGGCAAATATGCATCCTTAGGACCTTGCAACACCAAAACCATAAGAATAAATTGGGTATAATTGCTTCTTTGCAGTGTTACCATGGAAACAAAGTACCAGTGCTTAAAAGTGAATTATTTTCCGTTGCATTAAGAATTAAATTGCCATATAATCAAAAAACAAATGAAAGGACTCAGCTTGAATAGTACTTATCTGTTAGAACTGAAGTTGAATATCATATATTGATAACAACCGATGAAGAAAACAACACTGTTGCTATGGTTACCAAGAAGGGAAAATGTTCGATTTTGTGAACTTTATATCAATATTAAACCCTGTGTGCCAACTTCTTGCATCCACTTAGAGATTGGATGATGGTCAAAATTAAAAGTCAGGATAGCTGTTAATAAATATCAATCATAAAAGTTTTGGGAATCTACATTAAAGGGTACGTATCCAAGGAAAGAAAATATTTTTCAGTTTTTGAAGCATATATTTTCTGTTTATTTCCATAGCAACGCTCTATTTAAAGAATCTAATCTGAATTTTTTCAAATGGGAAAACTAGGAGCACACCAACATCTTTAAAAATTGATCATAATTTATGAGTAAATGTGCTTTTTTTAAAAGATAGGATCAGATTTCAACATACAGAATGTTACTTTGAAGGCTCTCTGTGGTATAAAAACCTTGGCAACCATTGCCAACCAAAATGAAATATCATATTTTGTTCATGGTATATGATTCAAGGCTCTTTTATCTATTATTTGGTCACATTTCATCCTATAATTGCTTTTTAGTTTTACCTGTATTACTTTTTAAAATTCAATGAATATTTTTGTTACTTTTGAATACTTTGTTACCATAGTAACGTATGAAATAGTTGATTTACCAAAAATGTTTATCATGCATTTCAGACATCTGACCTTCAACTTTTTGAAACAGTCATTACCAATTGTTTGCTTTGCCGCAAATGTTAACTGTGGGGCTCTAAACATGTTAAAAAATGCCATTTTTCGAACTTTAAGACATGTTGCCATGGTAACTATAAAACATAGCAACCAATTCTTGCCTGATTTCAGTTTAGGGTATCAATGACTTTTATCATAGAGAGTTTGGAGAAATTCTGAGACTATGCGTGCCACAGCTCCTATATAAAATTTCAAGTCGTTACAGAGAATGGCTCTTAATATTTTATTTTACAGAATTGATCTACTCCACCGTGTTTTTCTCTAATTGTCTTTCTTGGTATACATCTTACAGCATTAAAAAACAATGAAACCTCTGGCATGGGAATATGAGGGAGAAACAGAAATCAAGCTCAAAAATCCATCACAACGATATTATTACATTTTGGGAGCAGAGAGAACACAAATCTCTAAATCATAAGAGTTGGGATTAGATGTTTTGGACGAGTAAGCATTTCCTGTTCACAGAGCACGCCAGCTCTTTTCGGGTAAACAGAAAAATACTTGAACTAAAAAAATATTTAAGGACTTAAGAATTTATATGGGAAAAGTCAGTAAAAATCCGACTAATGATCATATTTAAAACAATTATGTTTCAATATTTAAGTTGTATTAGGTCATTTGGCTTTCAAATAGTATCAGTGTCTTTAAATCAATAAATAGAAGTTCAAAATTATTTTTTTAAATTACTCCTTAATTTAATAACAATTTGAATGAAGGAAGTTAAGTCTAGAATATTAAAAAACACTGTGGATTTGTAAAAACTATGATAATTAATCAATTGGGCGGTTCAGGATCCTGCGGTATTTATGCAATTGGCACTATCATTATGATGTGCATAAGACCCCTTTCATGAAAATTAGGTATGGAAATATATTATGATCGATCAAAGTCGTCATCGATCAATTGATTGATTTACATCACAAGTCTCTAGTTTAATTATCCTGCCATATAAAGTTGATTGATCATTTCAAACTTGGACACATAGGATTTGTTGCTGGTGCTTTTCATTGTGTTTAAATTCTATAAAAGAACAAAGAACCATTTTGTCTAAACATATACACCTTTGATTTTCAAACTAGAAAATTTTTGCTTTTTTAAAATCACTCTTTTATAATTATTTTTGCAATTCTTGCTGCTAGTTCTGCCTGAGATGAGTAGTAATTCTCAAATATGAATTAAATAAAGAACATTTATTCTTAGAATAAATATATATATTTTTGAAAAACTCATATAAAAATAAACACATCGTTAAAAAACTCCCCATTTTCACTCACACACACCCTATTTGATTGTTTTTAGTAGAAACTATATTTCTACAGAATAAAACTGGGACGGAAGCCCCGGAAATGCCGGGAAATCCGATGGCTTTCTCTGGGTCTTGAAAAAGACCTGTGCCTGTCACTGAAAAATCTGCCTCGTTCTGGCACAAGAGGTCGGCGTTGTCGTATTGACCTGCTATTTTGACGTACTCTTGCTTCTCTATCCGAAAAACCAGGGAACGAAACCCTTCCACGATTACTTGGAGGTCTCCTTATCAAATTTGAGTCACGTGATCTTTGTCGTCTGATAGAGCTCAGTATACTGTTGACATCCCTGTCTTGGGGCCTATTCCCCCTCATCCTTCTATCTGGGGACCTGTCTCTAGTGCTTCTTTGGGGTGTATTACGAAAATTTTCCTCTCGACCGCCGCGAATTATTTGTCCTCGGTTGTCATTTGATCTAACACTCTCACTGAATCTGTTTCTGTCCGGTGATCCACGGTTGGGAGGTTCGAATCTGCCTCTATTTGGAGATCCATTATTGGGTGGTTCAAAGATAAGGTTAGGCAGGCTTGACCGCAGCTCTCTATTCTCCCCTGGAATGGGTCCTCTTTCCAAACGATTTGTATTGGTAAAATCTGGCTGTCGAATTGGTTGACCAATTCCTGGCAGCACTTGATTCTGTAAGAGATTAGGAGCAATCTGACCAGGTAAAACTCCGCCTCTTGGAGGAAGACCCACAAATGGATTTCCAATATTGGGTGAGAATCCAAAGGATGGCGCCCCAAATGGTATTGCTCCCCCTCCGACGTTTTGAAGGGCGTTAAGAGGATTTATCTGAGGACGAGCGGCGGTCACGAACTGCTCTGATTCGGGTCCGGCTGAACCAACGGATTCAGAAGGAGCTGTTGCTGTCCCCACGATACTTGGGATAGAACCCGCCGAGGGATTTTCTGATTGTGATAGCTCAAATGCATTTGCTAAAGAAGAACCTAAAGTTGATGCAGATTCAAAACCTGTTGTTCCAGGAAGCCCGGCATTAAAATTTGGTTGAAATCCGATTGGAGAAGTAGAACCCCTACGTCTAGGATTTATATCAGCTGTCTGGTCATTGACATTTTCTCTCCCAGATGTTTGTCTTTTGTTCTGCAAGGGTACAGATAGTCTGTCAATTTCTTTATTTACCTCAGAAAGTGCGCGCCGCAGCTCCGAAGCTGACAGGCCTTCTAGCTTAGTATTCTGGAGCCCTGGTGACTGTTGTCTTGGTGTGGCAGATGAAGCAAATCTGTTACTGAGATCTTGCAATTTGGCAACATTCGGTTGAAAATTTTGACCAAAAGTAGTTCGTCCTGTGCCACGTGTGTCAGGAAGTGAAAATAAGTTTGTATTATCTGGACCGCTGTTGAGCTCCTGCAGCTGCGTGGCGACGGGTGGCACATTACGAGCGAAGGCGGCATTGCTGAATTGTGAAAATACGGGGTCCTCTGTTAATGTAGAAGGCAAGGTCCCCATGGTTTGTGATAATATCTGTTGTTGGTTTACTGCTTGTGTTCTTAAGGGGTCACGTTGTGGTTTAGTGATTTCTTTAAGGGGTGTCTCTGGGGAAGGATCAAAAGATAAATCATTTAAGTTAGGAAGAGAAAGTTCTGGAACACTCTGCTGAGCATTTCTCTTCGGTGTTTTAGTCACAGATTTCGAAGAGACAGATTTTCGGCCACCACTGTTGGACGCTACGCCAACTGATTTCGAAGGGAATGATGGGATATCAGCAATATTTCCTGCAGAAGATCCAAACAAATCAGACGAACCGAAAGAAGGACTGGCATCTGTTGGTAGGCCTTCAATGGTATTTCCGCCGGAAGTAACAGTCTCACTTCCGAATGAATTCAGGAGGGCGTCTATGTTACTGAAATCTCCGCTACCTCCCCCAATAAGTCCCTGCAGACCCGGATTAGCTGCTAGGTTCTGTTGTAGCTCTTTAGTGATGTCATTAATGGCACCTTCTAGATCTAGAGCACTTGTGGAACCTCCGGTTTGCGAAGAGATGGCTCGTTCCAAATCTACATGATCTAAGGTACCTGTTCCTGTTGATCCAGGAATGTCTGCTACGGCGGATCCTAAATTTCCTGGGACGGTCTGGCCTGAGGCACCTTGTGTACCAGGGGAGAAACCGTTAATTTCTGCTAGTAAGGAATCTAAATCGATGCCCCCCATTGGGTCTGCTGTCTGTGCTGAAACACCTGTATTTGAAAAACACATATTCATTATTTTTTCCTTAGAAGAACAGTTCCTGAAAGACGAAGAGCAAGCTATTTGGGAAAAGATGAAAATGTGGTAAAATTTATGTGCTCTGTGAGTAAATAATTTTTGTGTTGCTGAGAAAATCTAGGGGAATAAAGAATAAGTCTATTTTGGGTATTCCAATAGCATATTTGGAAATTGTTTTCACGTGATTATTGAACTTGAAGTTTCAGAAAATATTTTATTTTCAATCACACCTCAAAGCAATTCGTGCAGTATATTATCACCCACTTTGCATTTCCAGTTCTATCAAAAGATATAGAAAAAAGACAATCTTTCGCCAAATTCCATTTTCAGTTAACCAGAAATAAATTAAAAAATTAAAGGAATTTTGAAAACATATAGATCTCTTTTATAAGATCTATTTTTGCAGCAGATAATGAATTCATATTTTTTCGTTCTAGGAAACAGATTGAATGTTCAACTTATCTTTTTGAAATTATGATAAAAATGCCATACTAGTTAATTACAATGTATTATACTCATGTCTCTTGTATCGTGAGGATGTCTCCATAAAAAAAATGTGTCACTTCATACAAAGAACTGAAAACGCACTAAAAGCAAGCTATCTCAAGGGAACATTAAAAGGGGTCAATTTTACCCTTTTTCTTTATCTTTAAACTCCTAAAAAGATTTTTTAACTCAATAATTTGAAGGGGATATTGATAAGAAAACAAATCACTACGAATACGAGACACTTCATTTATTTACATTCATGTTCTAAAATAAAGCTTTTCAGTACGTTTTTTTTTAATTTTCGTTTAAGTTAATATTTTTTGTCAAAATATATTTAAATTACAAGCACCTGAAATTAGTACTTTGTCATTATTAAAATTATAATATAATGTTTGTTAGTTTTTCAAATGATTACTTATTAATGCTTACTCCTTTTTTAGTTTTTATGTTCGATAGGTTTCTATAGTTTGATGTTAAGTTCTTCAGAATTTTTCCCTTTTGGTACTAGATAAATATTTCTAAATATTAAAATTTCAAAAAAATTCTAAGTAACTATATCTTTATGTTCAATCAAATATAAAAGTTCATATGATAGTTAATTAAAGTTAACTTCAGTAAGCTATATTACATGTATCTATATGTTTAGTGATATTCCTTATAAAAGAAATTAAATCTAAGGTGCTGATAACTTACATTGTATACACAGAAAGACAACAATCCATCGCTTCCACATCATTCTGACTAGTTTCACTCCTCTGATCGAGCTTCAATCAAAATTCAATATTTATGCCAGTCAACCTGTCCCCGATATGTCATAAATTAAATCCTAATTAGATACAACACTCTTGTTTTTAATAATGATTTAATGTCGATTAATTTGCATACTCCATACTAGTTAGTAATATAATGGATTGCCGAAATTTCACAAGGGCTTATAGATTTGCGTTAGTGTGATATTTTGGGGTCTTTGAGAAAACATTTTCTACGCTAAGCCACAATTAGGAATTGTTTTACCTCAGTGAATAATCATCCAATTTTAAAAGATCGATTGTACATCTTTGCAATATACCATTTTACTTTTATGGGCAGACACCATTCACAAGGATATGATGAATTACGTAAAAAAAATAACACTATATACTGTATGATATAAAGCTAGCCTTATAACTATGACTTTGTTCATAATTATGATACTGTTTAAAATAGGTTGGTGAGCGAATGTAACTTCTGATTCTTATTGGTAGACGATTAGGTATGGAAATAATGACCTAATTTGTATGAAGGAAGTCATGTAGTTAACATTCAACTTTACAAATTTTCAAAAAAGGTGGCAATATCGAACAAAGAATTAACAAAACGTTACATTTGCCATAAAGATATTTTTATTCCATTGTATCAGCAACTTATTTGCCATTAAATAGAACATGATCATGCATGTAGAATTAAATGTAAGATATGAATTTTTTATTTGATAATATAAAACAGTCAATATTTTCTTCGTTTGTAAGGCTCATTATATACACAGTATTTTAAAGAAACTTGGATTTGATTCTACTGGCGGTAATCCAACTAATACTCATAGTTCATTTTCTAGGGAAGAAATTCTTCAAATTATGTCATTTTTAATATTCCAAACAAACAAAATAAATTTGAACTACAATATCTATATTGGATTCCTAAACTTTATAAAAACACTTAAAACAAAGAAACATAGCGGGTTCCAATAAATGTTCAACCAAGCCTATTTCTTTACTCCTCACTAAGATATTAACAGAAGTGAAGGAGAAACTTCAAGAGTACTGTGCAACAACATATTCGAAAAGTGATGTAAATCAGATAACTGTTCGTAATCTCCATGTTTTATGGAATAGTTAAACATTCCAAGAACTTTTGGAAGATTTGAAATCACATTGTCAAGACATTACCAAAATCAACAGCTTAAAAACTTACTACTTTTAACTTTATACACAATCATTCCCCACGATAAATTAATGTCTAGGCTTTCTGACATCATTGACAGCTTCTTTTTAATAAAATGGAACTCTTAGATTTACTTACTAGTACCATGTCATTGGTCATTTACAAAATTATTTTTAGAAATCATTCTGAGTGTACACACAAGTACTCTGAATATTGATATCAAAAAGATGCTTGAGTTTCTGGTTGACACTATCTACATGTCTGTGGTTTTTGAAGACCAGGTCTTTCAGCAATCTATTGGAATTTCCATTGTTACCAATTGCGTCCAGTTATTTTCAGACCTATTTTGTCTTCATATGAAACAGAATTTGTCCAAATTCTTATACGTAAAAAGAAAACAAACTTGCTGTGGCCTGCAAATCGACATTTACAGATATCGATGACTTATTGTACAATAACAATTCTGATTATAATCATTCTTATGTCGATACAATGTGTTATATCCAGGTGACCTTGAGATAAAAGATACCAAAGAGTCTGACATATCTGTTTCATATTTGGATATTTTACTTGAAAAAAGACGTTAATAGTAATCTTACACCCAAGCTTTATCACAAACATGATGCCTTTACCTTTTCAATCGTCAACTTCCCTTACGTATGCAGCAATATACCTTCATCACCTGCATATGGGGTGTACATCTCTCAGTTGATTCGATACGCAAGAGTATGCTTTGCGTATGTACAATTTAAATTCAATTTATTAAACGAGGTAAATTATATATTGGTAAACAAGGGGACGAAACAAGAATATAAGCATTCTATAGCTAGTTTAAAGTCAGCATTTCTAAGTTCTATGGGCGATACAATGACCTTGTCATCATGCAGATACAATTTATCATTGAGTCAAATGCTGACTGACGTTTTTCATACTAATTATTAAGTCATTATTTGCACACTTACATGTCCGTTATTTCCCGATCATGACAAGGAGCACACTGTGGGTGTCACCAGTCGAGAGAGGATGCTTACTCCTCCATGGCACCTGATCCCTTCACTGATAATTTGCATGTCTGTGTTTCCTCCGCTCTTATTTTATGATATATTATGGACTTTTGAGCTTTCATAAAGAAGTTAATGTGATATTAGTTGACGATGGAAAAGTTAAATTTTCACATTATTCATTAATTTAAGCTGAATGCCTAAACTTCATAAAAACTGGATCCCTAAACTACATAAAAACCACACAATGATACATTGCCGGGTCCAGCAAATGTGATACCAAGTTTCTTTTAACATTCATTTCGCTACTCAAGAACGTGTGCCGAGCATGATCAAAAATAACCCAGGGCAGAGTACTCACCACGATGAATTGATTTTAAAAAAAATAGATCAGCATGAAGAAATGTCTGTGGTTATCAAAAATATTGTTTGAAAAATAATGTATTAATGGCCAGTTCTCATGTTGGCTGACTTCCTTAATATATATGCACTCATTATTAGGTCTTTGATTTAATCACAGGAGTTCGCGTACCTACCAATTTTACAGAAATTTTCAGTGAATAAAAAAATTCGTAATACCTATAATAATATGAATTACTTATTTTTTTATTTACTGAAAATTTCGGTAAAATTTATATATAGGTACGCGAACTCCTGTGATTCCATGCTAATTATGAAGGAGGAATGTTCTAGGGAAATAGAGAATGTTCCATCTACGTGTTCAATCAGAGGCCTCACGGCTGGTGCGACCTGTCCATATTTTCTCCTGCTGGGCACCTGACCACACCTATGGAATTCCCGGGGGTCCGTGTTTCACGCCCTATAAATAGTATTGTATTGTTTGTATTTTTGTTATCGGTCACTTTACCTCCAACTCTTCTCAATTCAAATATATTTTTAAAACCATTATTTTTACCCAGTTGAACAGTAATTTGGTCGTCAGTCCTAGCCATTGTTAATGTATCTTTCATTTGTTAACACAAAGCACAAATGTTTTCATGAAAATTTAAACTGGATAATGATAATTAAAGGAGGGGCTGGTATAAGGGCCGAACGTTTACAAAAGTATTACAGGGGAATCCCCTTGCACTGCCAAATACAATCATAATCAACAAAGGTAAAAAGTTAATACAAGAAATACGAAAAAATGAATTCATCTTACGCAAGCAGCAAACGTTGTCTTTAATTAATTCACATGTACTGCCAAACAGCGAACGGATGTATCGAGCTCTGCCTTTTATTATCTATTTTTTTCTGCGTAATCATTTTGCGGTCGGGCATGTCACATTTAATAGAAGTCATTACAGATCTCCTTTTTTATCAATCAATTTGTTCAAATAATTAACCTATTATGAGCAATTATTGTTTGTACATGCCAAAAAAGTCTGGGCAAGAATATGGTAATCACGTCACATAGATCTAACAGATGATTGAAAAAAAAAGCGGGCGGGGTTCTTTTTATATTGTTTTCCTAGGGATAATCTCATTGGTTAATCTGCTTTCAATTTGTTTTCATTTTTTGAATCAATGACGTGTAATTCATTGCCGATATTTATATTATTAAGAGACTTCTGGGATATTCAAAGTCCTTGAAACAAGTGTTGCACTAGTTAATTATTCCACATTAATGTTTGGATTCACAAAGATATATTCTGGACCAATAATGGTCAAGAGAAGCCAGTTCAAAGATGCATTCAGCATGCTCAAGACTACTACATGTATTTGACTAAAAATCCACGTATGATGTGAGCATATTACACATCACGTTTTTCCTGACCATGACAAAGAATTCATTGTTGGCAGGGACGCTCACTCCTCCGTGGCACTCGATCCTACCTCTGATGTTTTGGAGGTCTGTATTTTCACTGCTTCTATTTTGTTCTATGAACTTTTGAGGTTGACTACTGTTCGTTATCTCCATACATTCCACTTACCTTTAATACCTTTTTTATACAAAAAGAATACCATGGTTTTTTTCCAGTGATGTTGTATAATTTACATATTCTTTGGAATATTATGATCAGGCTTACACTCTTTTTACATTTTATCGTTGGAACCAAAATGTAGGCAAACCATTTTTGTATATATAACGTATATACATGCACTAGTATTTAATGCGACTTTTCACAAAAGTGATTCTACTTTTACATTCTTCTTTTTTTGTATAATCAAGGAGATGGGTGAACATGACGAGAGATAAGCCCATAGCGCGACAAACATGAAGGTGAAAAATTAAATCTCAATTTTATCAAAATTTTCCTTAATATTTCACCTAACATTAGAGTATACTTTATGTAAAACCTCTACAACTTGCAAAAATCTCATGAAAATTGAAGTTATTTGCCTATGAAATATTATACACACACGAAAGAGGACAAAACGAGTCATTTTGTTCACACTTTAACACTATTTTTCGTTATGAGTGGGTCTTCTCTCCATTTTCTTGAAAGGTAACCCTCAAAGTTGGCATAAAAACATACATATTTGGGTTTCCAAAATTATGGAGCAATGACCCACTATACCTTAAAAATATAAGTTTATGGCATAACTTTCGTATCTTTTCGAGAAATACTTGAAGTCCCTTAAGTCAATGGTCATATAACAACCATGATTTAAATGCCACACTTCATCAGGACTTGTGTAGCGTAGTGGTTAGCGTGGTAGTTTCATTAGAGAATGTAACTCAGGATTTTTATTGCCAGGGTTCGAACCCAATGGATACCACATTTTTTTTTCTTTAGAAAAGAATAAATTTTAACGAAAAATTTTCCTAAAAACTTTTTGTTTATCATGATTTTACAAAAATGATGAGAACTTTACTCTAAACACTATAAAATCACAATTTGAATATGATTTTATTTA